AAGAAACTTGGGGATCAAGGCACTCCTCATATCTGTGTTACTTGGAAAGGAAGCTTCCAAGGAATGAAGAGTTCCTCCTAATGAAGAATCTGAAGCAGTACTTCCTGCATCAGGTCCTAACTTCTGCTTCAGTAACAAGATCACAGGGAGAAAGATATTTTACCTTGATTAGAAGCTTTTCAAGAAAAGAGAATCCGCCCCTAGGTGACTTGTTCCAACAAGCCTTAATTCTAAAATCTCCCCTCTTATACCAATTACCTTCAGTTAGAAAAATGATTGTTCCCAGATTTTATATAATACCACCAATGTGGAAGAGGTCAAGATCTCAGTCTCATGACAGCCGAAAGATGAGCTGAGTCCAGTATCTAATTGGAAAAGATAAAAGTGTATCATGTATATTTATTTTTAGAGTAAAAACTTTTCAGTTCACATTTCAGAGCTGCTTTCCACATCCAAAAACAACAGAAGGAAATGAGAACTGCTCTCCTCAGCATTCTGCAAAAGCCAACAAAAAAAAAAGTCATTAGAAGATGGACCAGTATTGCCAGAAACAGCTGTTTTACAAGCCAATAGATCAATGGGCTTAACAAATGAGAATGCCCTGCATGCTAGCATTTTCTTTATGCAATACCCCATTGCCTTGAATCCAAATATAAAGACTGAAATCCTGACTGCTGTGAATTGAATAGGGCAAGGATTTCTCCCTAAGGAGAGGTTTTTAGATAGCATGTTGAAGAGGGCTTACTGTATAGAACAAGAGCCGTCTAGTTTGCCTGTTGGAAATGGATGAAGAAATTTTGCTTAGTAGGTTACCTAGGACCCGACTTGGACGCTCAATGGGAATTACGCTTACTGGAATAGTATTCATTATCTATTGATTCTTTAGCACTGAGTTCAGTTCAAGAACCCACTTGTTTCCCGCTGTACAATACTTCTGCAATACCAAATGACAACCCAAATAACTCTTTTTCTGTGTTTGAAATATTTTAGAATATAGATTGCATATAGAAAAAGTCACAGTTACAAATGGAAAAATAAACATTTTATATGTTAACTTTCTTTCCCTTTACAAAGATGCAGACCTACAGACCTTACGTGAAGTCTGTGTTTCTGCTATATAGTATTTAATGAAAATGAAATGTTTGAGCCCAGGGATAATTGCTTTATATATTTTTGAGAGACAAAAATCCAAGAAAATTAAAGATATTAAGGACTAAGATCTAGATTTAGGAAGCTACTTAAATAGATATTTAATTTAAAAGACAGGAGCAATCTCTTTTTTTGTTTGTTTTAAACAGACTTGGATGTATTTTTTTTTTTAATCTGATGAGTCTCATGTAATCACCTGACCACTGCCTGCAGCCAGGATGGCCTGAATATTTAAAGACTTAGTAACACTTCTGGAGTCAGGCTTATAATGAAGAATATTTTCAAAGCAGAGTCTGCTACCACAAAGGTTACTGTGCATTTCCTTCAATATACAAAAATGGCTCTGAATTTGGGTCTGTATCCTGTGCTGGGACAACACGGGACGATGCTTAATTAATGTACAAATGTAATGTTTGCAAGAATTCCTGTCTCCCTCGCAAATTCCCAATCCAAACAAGAAAAAAAAAAGATGAGTGCAATATGCCATCAGATGTAATTTGTGTTGGCATCCAACACGTGAGTGACTGAGCAGAACTAGGACTCGGCTCTTCTGGCCCCCAGTCAAGTGCCCTATCCTCTGCACCAAATGATCCCCCGATAAACGTTATGGCTACGTTCAGCTGTCTTGAGGGAAAGCAAAATCCTTGATGAATTTACAATAATGTTATCTCATTCCCACTTAACAACAAAAAACCTTCTGCCTTTTTAGGAGTTTGAAATGCAAAGGTAGAGCTTTGCTCTAGGGCTGTGTTGTCATGAGAGGGGATAGAAATGGCTACTTGCAACTCAGAAGGGGTTGGCTCACAAATAGGTTGAAAGAAATACATATAACTTGAGGCACGAGGACTGTTATTAAGCAGAAGTGCTACTTGAAATTGGAAATCTTTGAGAGGTTGTGGTTTTCTTTGTCTAAAATGTTGTTTGTCATTCTTGTCTGAACATTCAGCTAATGCATGAGGTAATCCTTGGGTGTAATTGCAAGATTTAGGGAAAGGACAAAGTGTGTCAGCTAAATCTTTTAATTCTTTTGCCTTCAGAGAGTAATATCAACTCTTAAATGTGACTTGAGAATTGTTTCTGGCACTAAGTTGATGCACAGACGGTCCCAGTGCAGGATTAATCGGCTGCCATCCTGGCACATTGCTAGCACTGCAAAGCTCTTTGCATGTGTTTGTAAATGAGGTTGCTGTGAACAGCCAGAGTTTTTAAAGGCAGGAGCAATTTCTCTTGGCTCCTCTGGATGGAGATCTCACTGGGGCGCAGAGAGAGGACACCCATGGAGGCTACAGCTGTGCAAAAACTGAGAGCCTGCATCTGAACTCCTGGGAATAACACTGCTGACTTTGCTGGACTCAACCAGGCAGGGAAACCGCTATTCGCTGAACACGTTACCTCTCAGTGCTGCTAACAGTACCACGTGAGTTAGTTATAGCGTGTAAGTTACAGTGTTTACCAAGAACTATCAACTGTGCCAAGAAACCTTAACTAGAGAGCATGATATGGCACAGTCTTCCAGTGCCAGTAACTCAGTGCCAGACTATGTGAGAAGATAAATCTTCCCAGTCCAATGAGATTCACTCAGACGATCCTAGAAGATAAGTCCAACTACACATTGGAGGAAAAAATCCCATTTTAAACTTGGAGAGTAAAATAACTTGTAATGACAGTGAATTGTTCCCATATGGTGAAACGTCACCACTAGGAGTCTTGTGGCTGGGGTCCTCGCACAGCTTTGGGATCTGCTAAGAGTCCCCTCCTCACAGCAGATGCTAACACGTGCTAAGGGCTTCATGCAAGCAGTGTAAGAACAGATGTCTGAACGGAGACTGAACGCAGGTGTGCCTCCAATGTCGCTTCAGTGGGAAACAAGACAACTCAGCTCCATCTCTCCTTAATTTGGCTAACATTGTGTAGAAAAAATGAGAGAGAACTATAAAGTGATACAGGGAGTTCATTTTCCTTGGAGCAAAGACACAGTAATGCAGCACTCTGAGGGCTAAATTTACCACGGTATTCTGGCAGTAGCATCAGTCAGCAGGAACTGCCTCTCTGGCTAAGGGTGGTACACTAGTTGCTCAGACTCAGCAAAGCACATAAAAGTATGTTTAAGCTTTAGCTATACGCTGGAATTTGTTTCTATTCAGTAAATATATATAAGGACACATGCACACACAGATAGTCTTAAGTCAGCAAGTGAACCTACCCACTTTAAAAAAGTAAAAACCATAGCGCAACCCTAGAAATGATTTAGCCTTTCCTCAGTGGTAACAAATGTTTCCCTGTACAATTTGGTGCTCTATCTATCTCATACACATTCACCATCCAGTTCAAACAGGGTTTTGGATAGAAATGTCTATAACCCTTTCAAGTTTTGCATCCTTAAACCAACTGTTGCCATGATGGGCTGTCTTTCAGGGTACAGCTTGATGCTTTCTTGTGCTGTTGGCACTATCAATCTTGTATGCAGCTACAGCATGCAGTATGGAGCATCTGACCTAGACCTTGCCTGTCTACCATAATTCATGCAACTGAGTCAGTGGGCTTGGGGCAAATGAGCAAAGCTTATGAGAATGCTTAAAATTAAGCATGAGCTTAAGTACTCTGCTAAGTCAGGGCATTTCTCAGGAATGATAAATGTGAAAAACATGGGATTCCACGCAGACTGAAGACTTAAGAAAGTACTTCTTCAGCATCGGGCAAAGTATTTGCATACAGTACAGTGGCCGTTGGGTTGTGAGGATTAATAATTTTTTAATGCACATTATTCGTCAAAAAACCCAAAAGCATGGGAACATATCTTTAAGATAAATACAACAGGTGGTCTTACAAAGATAATTTATTTGCAATTAATTCCTATTTCTGAGTCCAGCTTTCACAGTAATCTCTGCACTGAACCTTACTTGTGAACTTGAGAACCATAAACTTAAATTGTGATTTTGTGAAGACACCCTTCTACCTTGTGTAAGTGGCAGCATAATTAAAGCCCTGACAAAAAGATAAATCCAGAAGGGCTCTGTAGAATTCATCCTTTTGCAAGCTACAGATGGTTTAAAAAAAAAACATGTGAAGAGAATATGGACATTCTTTTGGTGGCTATGACAAACCCCATCAGCACAGCTAAGGTAAATTATTACTAACAGCCCACTTACTCCTACTACCAACTGCTAATTCAGCTCAAGACTGCAGTTGGAGGTATCAGGGTAACAAGTTCAAGTCAGGCATCCTAGTGGAGCTGGGAGTCTGGACTCAGATCATCTGATAAGTAAAATGACGAGTACATACGTGCCAAAAACGTGGAACATTCCAAAGGAATCTAGCGCATCTTGGGGCCATCCATATGCTCCACCATATGTCTGCGAAGAGTGGGGTCCAGAATCACAGTCTCTGGAAAGGGTAGGCCTCCCAGGCTCTCAAGATACCAGCCAGGATCCCAATTTTGCTGTATTAATGGTGTGTAAGCACCTGTATTCCTTCCAACAAACTAGTGATTTTAGCTCAGAGGGCAAATATACCCATACCATAACCAACTGTTTGCTGATTCAGAAGCTGGCTCCCACAGGGCACGTTCTACTAGTGAAGAAAAGGCTGCTCTGGGCTGTGTTTCTTCAGAGCCAGTTCAACCTCTGTGTATTAACTACAAAGAAGCTGCAGTAACAGGTGTTACCGTGTAAAACAGCAGTACTGATGAGCACCTAGAAACAGACTGGATTTTAATAGCTTAGCAGAGGGGAATACAAGTTTCAGCTAACTCAGTAGAATACAGGCTGCTTTATTATGCCTTCCAATCTGCTCCTCACTGACATTTTTCTGGGAACAATTAACTGCAGTGTATTTTTACATTTCAGTCCTACCTTATCACTGTCCACTGTGTTCTGTGATGTCCTGGATGCAATGGAAATGGTGTCAGGTTGACTGCTGCCATCTCCTTGGCTGTCTGCATCATCTACTCCATCTCTGCAAAAGACATAATAGGGGAATGATGTTCAGTCAACACACCACCTTGAGATGTGCATGACTTTATAGGTGGATTTGAGATGTGCCGAGTCAGCATGCCAGACCTGGCTTTCTGCTAAAATTACCTCACTGATGCAGCCCATGTTGTTATGTAGTTTGCAATTTAAAATTCTGTCACCCGCAGCCATAGGGTTGGGATTAGCACATAATCACAACCTTTGTTGCTGGAAACAGGATGGCTGTTGCCTGCATATTTCTGGCATGAAGAGTCTGGTGTTCAGAAATAGCTCTGCAATGAGGGCATCAGGCAGAAACTTTCCTTCAATTAGGTTTCTGCCTTAAACCAAAACCTTTCAGCCCAGGCTACATGTGACACTGAAGGAAAGGGTATTTCTCTTGTCTCATAGGAACCACATTTTCAGGAATTTAATACTAAGCCATAAAAATGATATCCAAACAAAAATAAATACAGTGTAGAGCTCCTCAAGTCTACCTCTATGAGTTTGCTAACAGAGGGTATCTTCTTCTCTTCTGCTCTGCTGATATAGTTCACCTAAATTTGTACTGGTCTTTCAAAATAAACATTTAAATAATATAAAATATATATTTAAGGACAAAAAAGAAAAAAAAAAAAAAAACTAAGACCCCTGTACTAGAAAACTCTTGTATTGGTGCATGTCCCCAGGAAGAAATATCTGGATCTCTGCCTTGCTACAGATCTCCTAGATGACCTTGGCTACTCATGCTTTGGATACCTCTATAATACAGCCTGAAGTATGAGAGTGATAAAACTTGAAGAAATGGAGATGCTCAAATTACAGGTGGCTTTTGGGAATGCCAGCAAAAGAACAATTAATTTTCCATAATTTCTATTTAATCCAGGATTCAAAGAAATTGACAAAAAAATTAATATTACTTCACAGGCTGAAATGAGTTTGTATTTGATGATGAAATACAAATTCTCCACTGTAGTAATATATTGCCATCACCAGCTGTGATTTTCATTGTCAAACAATTCAAAATGTCAAACAGGGAAAAAAAATCTCTTCATACTCAAATGCGAAGAAGTAAATTCTACTTTGGGAAAGAAACATAACCTTGGACTCTGAAGAATTTTTACTGTTCATTTCTCTCCAATACTTCGGAGTACTAAACTAAAAGACTTTTGCATGTGTATCATAGAAAATCTTTCTAGCTACTTTTGCCAAGACAACATATAAAAACCAAAGATGATGAAAACTGTTTTTGACTATAGTAAGAAAAAGTAAGTGAATCCAGTCAAAAGCCCACAGACACTACACTGCTGTTGGTTGAGAAAATGCTAGCGATATCCTGTTGTACAGAATGACTGAGGTTACCTTCTACTGTTGTTTCGCTGCTTTGCTGGTGTCTTGGGGAGCTGAATTGGCTCTTTCAGAGCTCCTTTCAGATGGATAATCCTTTCTTGAATGACCTCCCGGATATTTTTGATCCATTCCTGTTTTGTTTCTATACTGGAAGCCTAAAGTTCCACAAGGGAGAAAGACAGATACTTTATCATATTCCCAGCATGTCACCTCCTATGTAGAAGAATCGTGGTTGGCTGATGAAAATGCATGATTAACTGTTTCTCCTCTCTGCTGTATTGTTTTAGCTGCTGAAGTAACCTGGTAACCCCAGGAGAACAGGGTATTTTTACCAGACCTACTTGGCAAGCAACAGCAAAGCAGCTAAGCTCTGGATAAATATATTTAATACTAGCAATACAGCACGCTCTGTGGAGGGGAAATAGGTTATCGGTGTGCAGCTAGGATTTCCTCAGACAAAATAACTATAATATGAATTCTTCATTAAAAACTCACTTGACAAATGGCTGTCAGCTCTGGAGGTTTGAGGAATAGGTTGACTGTCAATAAGCTCAGTGGCAAAGGACTAAGAGAATTACACCTCCCAGACAAACACCCTGAGATGTGCCCTGTGTCAGCGAGCAGCTGCTCAACCCAGGCTGCAAAAGGAGATGCAATTTCAGCAAGGCTGCAGAACTGTACTGTCTTGATTCGTACTGAGGCCTTAGAGCTGAATTGCTCCCGATGCAGGCGTGACCCCGCTGACAGACATGGAAGCCATGCGAATATGAAGGGGGAAGAAACCGACCTTTCATTTAGTGCTCCCAAGGCCTCAACTAGCCTCTAAAGGCCAAGAAAACAAGCAGAAAAGACTTACTTTCAGCACTGTTTTATTGTCTGAGGATGGTGTTCGTCCAGACCACAAAGCAAATTTACAGGGATCTCCTTCAACATGTTCAGTCACTCCCAGTTCTGAGGTCTAGTGTGGAGGAGAGATGATGAGAGATTTCATGAGTCCAGAAAACTTTATATTTGTAGGGAGAAGTGGGGAGGCAGGGATGGATAGGGGACTAAGATCTTGTCTCTGCTTTGCTACACATAGATAAGAGAGACAGAAAACCAGAGTATGGCAAGGAAGTGAATGGCTTGAGTGATCCTCTGCATTTCCCGCCCACCCTTCACATCTCACTATCTTAAAACTCTCCAGACTCACTGTGAGCTTGGCTTCCAGATGAGCCCTGCAGGGCCCAGAGCCAGCCCATCCAGGTGGCATGAATATCCTCAACCCAGCATGGGAACATGTGAGCCATCCCCTAAACTCCACCTTTACCTCCAAGAAACACAACACCCAGAGTATTTTCTTTGCAGCCACACCTACCAGTAACTTGTTCTTGTAAACATATTTTGTGTGTCCTGAAGAATCTTTGATCTCTTTGCTAAACACCAAAGAGATTTCAAAGAGAAACAAATGCCTTTCACGGCCTTTCCGAATGAGAGACTTGGGATCCCACACTTGGAAGGAATCCTGAAGAATCAGCTCTCCCTGGACGTCCAGGTTCTCATCAAACCCTGAAACCACAAAATACATTGGCTTCTATTTGTTCTTGGGTTGTAATGCCCAGAAACACCAGAGCAGTAAGGACTTGAGATAAAAGGGTCTTTATCTTTTTTAAAGGGTATTCTGAAAGGACATTAATGGGCATCCATTGCCCCAGTGAAAATATTTTTTTTTTCCTACTGCAATGGTATAATTATTTCACCAGAGGCAAATACGTCATATGTGCTAAATGAGACTGCTACCACAGTGTAGTAGTAATTACTTAAAGATAAACGTTATAAAGGTTTCAGTGGTGGTTACTGTACACAGAACTGCGATGCAAGGAATCTTATGTATGTCAATGCAAATTCAGCGAAACATAACGTGTGGTAGCTGGAAGTGTCCCATCATACCATGATGCCTTCAAGCATGCTAACCCAACCTTCAAGGGCCTGTGAGTCCACAGCAGTGGCATGGGGGAGCTACACCTATGACAGCAAATTGGTATGGTGTCTGAAACAAGCTTTCCAGGAGGAGTTTCGCATCTTCCAAGCTGCATGTCAAAAGCCCACACATGGCTGAGGGTCACAGGACTCCCTCCATGTAACTGGGACGCTTGAGGGAAAAGGGATTCCCTAGGGCAAGGTGCCCTCCAAGCTTCTCAGCAGCCTGTGGGTCATCTTCTCTCCAGAGCAGGGGATTGCTCCACCATGGATGTTGCCCATGCCAGATATTCCTGGGAGAGCAGCAAGCAGCCCTGGTCCCTGCTCCAAATAATCAGGAATAATGTTTTATTAAGACGACAACCATCCAAGTGCTTGTTTACTCTAACAAAGTCATCTCTGCTTCTTTATTATTGCCTAGTGCTGGTCACCTCATGGGGAGATTATCCAGGCGTTATTTTGGGAAACGTTGCTTTTCACCAGACACCACAGTTAAAACCATCTTTATAGTGTTTCTACCTATGCTTGTTCAGTTTGCCTCCCTGCAGTTTTAATCACCTGGTCTTAATGTGCTGCTTAGCCACCGGCACCATTTCCTTTTTCTTGCCTGTTTTAGTATTCTTCTTGTTTCCTGGTTCTGACTCAAGCCAGGCTGGAAATGATTTTCCCAGGCCAAGAAAATGTTTGAGAAACAATAAAGCATCCTTGTCCAGAATAAAATTTTTAAATTTTAGAAATACTGCACACATCAAAAAGCCAATAAAAAAGATTTAACTTTGGGGTAATCAAAATTTTTTTTCTGTAATTTTGAAATACTTTTTTCTTTTTTTTTTAATCTTTGGGATAATTATACTAACATTTTGAAACACAAGCTGTTTTGACTCAGAAAACCAGAACTTTTTCTTTTGAAATGTTGAGACAGTATTTAGAAATGTTTTCATCCAATAATCGTTATGGCTGCCAGCAGCTAAACTGATACTGTTTCAGGGGGAGGGGTTTCATTAAGTACAATACTGTTTCATTAAGTACAAATGTTTTAACCAGATATATATACACATCGCATATGTATACACACACGTATGTACATATATACACACACGTAAGATATAAATAAATAAAATCCCCAAACTTCCTAGCCAGCTTTATTCTTCCAAGGCTTTTGGAGAAATAGCAGAAAGGAGCTAAGTAGTACCTGAAAATTATGATCAATCAACAGTACTGCTACAGTCAACCTGTACTATCTTTCTACACAAGTTACAAGGAAGCTTCATTTATCGGGGGGTCCCTCCCCTGCCCCGGCCACCTGCCCATCTACTACCTTCCAGCATGCTGACGTGCATTGCGTCGTTGGCCTTCTTTGGGACACTGAGCATCACTTCCAGACCATCTTTGAGTTCCCCTTTGCCCTCCTCGCAGCAGGTTAGCAGTTCCTAAGAAGCAATGCAGAACACCTATAAACAAACTCTGACCAACGTGCTGGCTTTATATCCGATCCTGTTACTTGGTACACACAGCTGCTTCGCTAACAGTGACAGGAGAAAACTGAACCGCATTAAACCCGCTGCGGATGCTCACAGGCAGCGGGGATCAAATGGGAATGACTATAAAACAAGACAAAACAAGGTGCTCCCCCGTGAGACTGTGCGCTCAGAAGATTTCTGGGGACTTAGGCTTATGCAGCAGCCATCAGTCCGTCCAGCCGGGTTGCAGGACCCCCGCCTGATCCAGCAGTGCTGGCGAGTACCGCAGTGCAGGCAGGACTGGCAGCGTGCTGTGCCCAGGGCAGGGAGGGTCCTTCAGAAAAGATTCACCTGAGGAGGAGACTACAGGGGTGATGACTGAAGGGGTGTTTTAGCCTTCCCATTAGCAGATGGTTTGTGCAGTGCAGGCTCGCTCTCCCACAGCACTCGCAAGACTATGGTAAACCTGGGTGTTGTTTCAGTAAAGTAGTACAAAGCACAGATTTGTCTAGACATTAAACATACTCAGTAAGTACCTTCGTAGTACAGTACTTCACTCCTTTGGCATATACACAGGAAGCTTTAAAGATGCAATTATGATATCTGGTCCTAGCTTTCCAAAGTCAGAATCTGTCTCTTCCCTTACCACCAGATATTTTTTCTTCTCTGGTTTACTACTTTTGAAGTGAACAGTGGCTGGTTAAGTTAGATCTAAAATTCACCTACTCACAAGATACTGCAAAAAACTATTTACAGTTTACAACAAGCCAACAAAAGTTGTTTTTTTTTTTTTTATGGGAAATGTTAGTGTTTCACTTGGAAGTCCTTACTTTGTATATGAAGCTTTTCCCCATTTTTCAAACACAACATGTTAGCTCTCAAACAGAATCTAATGCCAGTGAAGGAGGCTCCATCAAGAGTCAGTGAAATTTCCCAAAGTTCATTACTGCTGTTATTGAAGCCTTTAATCAAAATATTACATGTCACAAATGTAGCAAGAAGGAAAGTAAACAGTTCTGTCATCACTTCGATTTCCCTTTCCCAGTTATCGCTTTTTAGGGTTAAATCCACTTGGATACAAAAAACCCAAGTTGAAACATGTGATCAGTTTTTTACTGTTTGGGTTTTTGTTTCTGTGAGTCTTCCTTTAAAAAACCCAACCTGATTTCACACTTTGTTGCCATGCTCAGGCCTGGGAATTAGGAGCAGCCGCTCAACAGCAGCTGCTTACAGGTCATGAACAGGCGATGAAGGAGCTCCCTTAAGAGTAAGTTAACTCATTCCACCTGGAAACTGCTCTGCATGAGCTGACTTGGGCAGCTCACTAAGGTACCTTCAGTAGGAGTTGGTATTTTGTGATCCTCTGGACAGGCTTGATTAAATAGGAAGAAATAGAGTTGGCCAGACCATGTCTTTGCTGAATTTCCTAGAAGACATAAAAACAGCAGTCAGTCATGGAAAACTATTAAAACCCTGCCGACAGATCCACCCATAACTAGTTTTAGCTCTGTATCTCTGCATTTCTTTGTTTAGTATTTTTAACTCTCTTTAAGCTCACATGCAAGCAACGGTGGTTTCAGAGAGGTTGTCAATAAACTGCAGAGACTCTTAAGGCCACTTGAACTGCCGGAGCCCTGTGCAAGTCAAGCTAAGGCTATGTTGAGTAAACCACACAGGCTTCAATTTAAATACGACTTATCAGTCATGTCAGCTAGCTTCTCCTAGCTATGAAGGCTGAAAGCAGAGTCTTAACATTCAATTAAAATGGAGTGACATTAAATTAAATTACACCCGTAGGGTGTAATTTAGCTGTCTAAACATAAGCATCTAGTCCCATTTGAGAGTCCTGGGGTAGCTGAAATATCTACATGGGAGTAACAGGTCTGACACAGTGCTGACAGACCTATCGTATTCTGAGGTGGCAGCTGGGGGCCAGGAGAAATACCCTTATGATACACCTGAGGGACAGGATGCCATCCGGAGGGACCTTGTCAAGCTTGAGAAGTCGCCCTGTGTGAACCTCATCAGGTTCAACAAGGCCAAGTGCAGGGTCCTGCACCTGGGTCGGGGCAACCCTCAGTATCAGTACAGGCTGGGGGGTGAAGGGGTTGAGAGCAGCCCTGCCGAGAAGGACTTGGGGGTACTGGTGGATCAAAAGCTGGACATGAGCTGGCAATGGGTGCTTGCAGCCCAGAAGGCCAACCGTATCCTGGGCTGCATCCAAAGCAGCGTGGCCAGCAGGTCGAGGGAGGGGATTCTGCCGCTCTGTAGGAGCTCCTGAAAATCCTACAGGACCTTAATGCACGTATTTAGCCATCTAAAAGACTTCAGACTCATGCCGTACAGGGACAGATTCTCTGCTGAAATAGAACAGGTTGGAATTCCTTCTGTCGCTGCCAGGCCCTGGACATGCCTCCCCTTGCTCCTGGCCATCAGAAAATCCTCAGTTCCTAAGGGAGTGGATGGGGAGGGCGAATGGGACTTATCTCCAGCTACTGGAGAGTAAATTTGAGGCTGTAAAGGGAAGAAGTTACAGAAGATTAAGGGGGAAGAGCTGCCAAGAACAGAGGTTTTCTTTCTGTATACAGTCTGCTTTTCTGCTGAGTACTAGGGAGGTTACTGGCTTTTTTAGCTCCAGTGTTTATCTTTGTGCTGGGATGCAAAAATAGCCACTTTTCACACAATATGCCAGCAAAATTTTTTTTTTTTGGTACTAGGCAAGTTTGTTTTAGAAAAAAATACTTCTGATGCCATGAACAAGACCCAGAAGGGAAGGGGCTCTGTGTGGGGGTGAATGGAGTTTGCATGAAGCTGAGTCATGGCTGGCCCCAAAGAGGGACAGTGTCTGCAGAGCACATGGCTGGGACTCAATTAGTAACTGCAGGAGCCAGCAAGACCTCGGCCACGTCTGTGAACTTCCTGGAGCTGGCTAAATACACTTGTTTTTGTAGGAACCAAGTAATGAATTTAGCACTATTCCTTCCTCCCAGCTATTCCTTCCCAGCTCTCTGAGTAGCAGGGCGTGCTCCCAGCAAGATGCCTTCCCTTTGGTCATTCCTTGCTCTGCTAGGATGCTCCCCGATCAGACCATGTGGAGACAGAGTGGGTTGGTGGGGTGACAGCTGTCCCTACTGCATGGGAACCTGCAGCAGGGAAGCAATAGCACTGCTACATGGCAACTGGACAAATACGCTGCCGGAAAGGGACCTTCTCCCTGCAGCTCCTCCCTCTGGTCCCTGAAGTGTTGGAGTAAGATGGCAACCTGCTGGAGTGTGTCTTGGGATGGTTTTGTAACAACTGGAGAGGTCTGGACTTACTGTGGGTGAAGATGGAAACTGGAAAGGTCTGTGCAGGGTAGAGCATGGTAGTGCAGATGTTTCTCACACACCTTTATGTAACATGAAGCAGAGAGATATCTGACCTAGCTTTGAAGCACCTGGCAGGTTTCAGAAGCAAGCTAGCTACAGGGCTCGGCACTCTCTACTTTGCCCCACTTCTTGTTTAAAGCAGCCTTGGTTCACATTATAGTGCACCATGGCTCACCATTAGACAGAACTTTAGTTATTCCTTAGGTGAAAAAGTGTCCCAAGGTCCTGGAAGACATGAAGGTGTCTGACAGGCACCATGTGCTGGCAGTTGTGTGTTGCAAACCAGATGAGCTGCAGAACAAGATCAATGTGTAGTCTTACATGCAATGACAGAATTCCAGAAAAACACCAAAAATATACCCTGTAGGGCAGCACAGCACGCTCTGAGGTCCTGGGATGGACAACATGGAGACAGGAATACTTGAATACAATTTCATACTATAAGAATTGCTGGATTTACCATGAAGCAGTGATAAAGTGCCCAGATTTTGTATCAGACATCTAAAGAGATTCACAAATTAAGGTAAATCATCTAATTGTGTACAGTTGTTTAGTAGGAGGACAAACTGCATCCTGAACTGGGTGTACAGACCAATGGCTTGCTGATTAGACCGATTCAGCACTAAAAACCTCATAAAACATTTAGGTTTTGTAAGGTATGACACAAATCTTTGGTGAGCAATTTCTGAAAAAATATTACTAAGGAAAGACTGAGACTCTGCTTGCACCTCTGCCCATTTCCTAAGGGACACTCTAGCTCAACGGAGCAACTGTCCAAGAACCATCATTCATGCAGAAACACAATGCTCTGCAATGCTACCAAAGTTGGTAACAGCTCTGTAAATGCTGGTCATGCAAATTAAAGGTGCCCTGTGGCTCTTGGGTATAACAATCAATCTTTTCTGAGATTTAAAGGAAAAAAAATATTCAAAATAGTAGAAGGGTATAGATGACTAAACCAAACTCTCTCTTTGCCCTGAGGGCCAAAGCTCACTTAAATAACAGACACTAAAATCAACTCTATCCCCTCAATAATATGCTGATTTCCACCAGCTGAAGCCCTTGCAATGAGCCCTGAAGCTGCAAATTTTCCACAGATTTGAAAGGTTCAGACAGATTACTGAGACTATTTGTTTTCATCTCAAAGGTGTCTTTCTATGATGGTTTATGCAATTTAAGGGGTTGTACACCTGTGATCTTCAAGCAGGCTTCTTACTAAGGTGACTGTTTTTCTAGATAACTCACTTTCATCATCAGGGTGTTTTGGGAAATTCCAGGTTCTTCCTGGAAGAAAAACCCCAGCCATTTCCTTTGTATTCCTTGGGCCAGACTGTCTCCTTTCCTGCCACTTTTCTGCCACTCCAAGATCAAGATAAGAAGGATCTACACGTACTTCACACTAACTTAGTCAGGTTGAGTGATTTCTAGAGGACTTTTTTGGGGGAGAGCCAGCTTTCTCTTTTTGCACAGGCATCACTGGGTAGCCCAGTATAACTCCCACCAATGGAAGGGAAACATCTCCCCTTGCAAAACAGCAGATGCCGACACATGAATATTCTCTACTAAGCAACATCAGGCAGGTTTCTAGCCCATATACAGAGCTGGAGTGGAAAAGCTTAGCAGAGGAAACGCTTTTAACCTGTGCGAACATGTCGTGGATCCTGATTTAGGATCCTGCCGGCTAAGCCAATTCGTCGCCGATCCCGATTTAGACACCTGAGGTGGCTCAAACCTTCCCCGAGTGACCAACCTGTGCAAACCATTCAATAGGCTCAAGCGCCACCTCCTGGAAAATCCCTTTCAGTTCAATTCTGCTTTTACACCATTTGGTAACAAGGGGGGAAAAAAAAAAAGTCAAAAGAAAAAGGTGTCCATCACTTTTCTTCTCTGATGTGAGATCTTTCAGTGTTCAGTTTAATTGAAATGCTATAACCATTGGTACATACGAAACCCAGAGGAGCTGATTCATGTCAGGCAGGTTGGATCCTGCTGAGTGGTTACATTTGTAAAATGATTTTCAACGCTTCGGAAAAGAGGTCTTAGTATTTTTTCTGAAAGGCAATTAATTAATCCTATAAGTTAAACAAGCACAGCACAATGGATGAGGTTCCTAAAATCAGACAGAAAGCTTAGTTTAAAAGTACTCAAAAACTTTATAGATTTTTCTCAGCCTACAAAACTGGGATTGGAGCCTGCAAATGTTTATCACCAGGTGTAGCGCTTGTAAGGTAAATAATCTAGTTGCAGTCAATAGAGTCCCTTATTAGCATGATGAAGCAAATGTTTAATAGGGTGAGTAAAATTTGCAGAATAGGAGGACAGGAACTTGTTTTGGACTTAGGGATTTCAGGTCATAAAATATAATGGGATCTGCTTTTCATTTTACCACTAAACCCAGAAGTAGAGAGTACATCTAAACCAGATCTTTAGAAAGGGTTGGATCTGAAAAGTGCACAAAGGTTTCCATAAGAATGTGTGTCTCCATTAAAAACGACTTGCCACACTGATGAAGATCACACATCACACCACAGACTATCAGTTTTCACAGCATGTGATATCTGCAGTGGAACAAAAAACCTCAAATGTCAAAGCACAAAAAGGAACCCGTTGTTCAGATGTAAAGAGAAGGTGTTTCAGGTGCACTATGCATGCTGAAGGAAAATGGCAATGGCTGCTTACATCAAAGAAAGTCCCTGCATGTTCCAAGATGAGCTGGCTGGAGTCAGGCTTGTTTTTGCAGTAGGTGACATACATCTGAAATTTATCTGCCTGTGAAAACAAATACCAAGGGAAAAGCAAGATAAGCTATTTCTCTGCTTGCACAGTCTTTCATTAAGGCTCACCAGGATAAAAACAGGTGATAAATGCCCACCTCTCAAAGCAACATAAGAATTGCAAATTCAGAACAGAAAACTTATAGACAGTTCATACCTTACTTAAGCAGCTCTGAGAGGAATGAGGTGCATCATGTAACAGCTATGGGAGACCTTCTTTAACAAGTATCACAGAGGGAAGGCCTAAAACTTTAATCCAGTTATAAAATAATTTCTGAGAGTTCTAATGATGTTACACAGATTGCATCCAAAAGTCTTCAGGTCTCAAAACTCAGTCATGAAATGTTGGCTTTATCAACTACTTGCAGATAAAGCCACTGTAGAATCTCTGGGCTAAAGACTCACCTAGCTTAAACTGGCTTGAGCCAACATTTTTGACTTGAGACTGGCTCAGATTTGTGACACCTGGCCCAAACTTGCCTTTCCTACCTTCGTTCATACTTTAATTGCTCAAACTTTATGTTGTGCCAGGAGGGTTTTGCATTTCATTTCCTAATTTATTTATTTTTAAGAGGAAATTAAAAGCATCTGTGCACTCCTGTCTTAGAGAAGTTTTGTATTACTGAACTCTGGTCTCAAGGAGAGGCAGGCAAATGGAAGAGGAGGGTGGCCTCCTTTTATTACTATTGCATTTTTTATACCAGGTATCTAAATAACAGGACTGTGCAATTGGGCAGGCAGCTTTGTATGTATGACTGTAACCATACACACAGCTCTGGACGTACTATTGCTGAGATGATGTGGTGGTACCTTAAAATACCATGAAGGTTTTTCACAGAATGATAGGTAAATGTGTCCATCTTTCATAAATATGTAACCAATATTTCTGAATCCATTTAATCAATATTTTTGTAGTGTTTTTAAATTAAAAGCCCATCTGAAATCATCCAAACATGCTCATTTTTTTGTAAGTGGAAATACCTCTTAATGACTTTTAAAATACTAATTCCAAGCTTTGAAATATGAATAAAACCATCAGAGAAAATGGCTGACACAAATATTTTGAAAAGAGAACAGCTCTCATACAGATAAATTACTGTAGCGAATTCCTGGAGCCTCCTACACCCGTGAAGACTCTCAGCATCACGATTTCAAAGCCCTGTTGGAAATTATCCTGGCACTGGGTAATGAAATGAGAGAGCACAGTGGCTGAGCAATTTGACATTCATTTCTGAAGAAAAATGTTGATAAAAGATGTTCACGCCTTTGTGGAGGCCTCATGGCATGACTAAAATTCTCTGAGGGTATAATACAAGATATTCGATGTCCACCCTCCTGAGGCCCTTCACAAAAAAATGAATGTCATCCCTAAATTCAGGTTTCATTTGATGAAGTCCTGTTACACAGGAACCAGAAGCAGTGAAAGCTGCGCTGGTCAGTGCAGGACAAGGAGAGAGGCTCTAGAAAGCCTTCACACCACTGCTCAGGAGAAGAGTTAAAGGAGGAAACCTTTCACCCTGGGAGAGGTGAAGGACAAAGCAGTCATGGTTCCAAGTTAGCTCCTAATCTCACTTGTCACTAAGGACATAACCCTTGCACCAATTCCCAGCTTGTTACTGTCTGTGCTGGAGGAATTAATTTGAATAATGAAAAGAAGCCTCATTACCCAGGTGACGAAGCAGTGGCCCACATCCTCAGGCAGTTGTTCGTATTTCTCTAGTTCTTTCAGAAAAATGCTGAAAAAAGATGACACCGATGTAATTAGTTAGTCAAATATCCAGGAGAAGCAGAATGACCAATGAGTTAATGAGTGATAATGATCAATATTTGTGTCTTGATTACAAGGCTAATCAAGTGTCCCGCCAGTGGAAAAAGTGTGTCCTTGTGAAGGTATGCTTTGGTTTTTGAGCACAGTCATGCCTGAGTCAACTAGAAAGGAAAAGGTAGCAAACTCTAGTAGGGGGTCATTGTATTCAGGACTGCGAAGCGATACCCAAGAACCAGACTGTGAATCTTCAGAAAGATCTTCTGCAGTGATTCAGAGGAAGAGCAAAAAGTGAAGTCCAATGCTGCCAGCTTTCTATCACCAAACTCAGCACACCGGGCAAAGGACAATGGTTTAAACAAGCTTGATACTTCACGGGTAAGTATTAAACTCCCAAAATACAGATTTTGTAATCAACTCTCTCGCAACACCTTGTACACGAGTGACATCTCTCTTTGCAGACAGAGCCCTGTGCAATGCCTGCCCGGATAGAGGAACGTGAAACAGAAGTTGCAGAAGGAGAAGCAACTGAATGTGCTGTCTCCCCAGTCCTGAATCAGGCTGGGGGCTGCCTTAACATCACCAGCCAAAGGAGAAGGTTGTGCAGGATACCAGTGGAGGTGAGGAGGAGGCAATTTATTTTTAGCATTACTAGTAGTTGTAACGGGAAAGGATTATGCAGAAGCAGCAGGCTGGAGGAAGGTGGGTGAGAGAAAGAAGAAATGACAGCAGCAGAGAGATGTGGGGCATGACTGAGGGTTGAAGGGGTGGTAGCTGTGAGCAAGAGAAAGTACAAAAGAAGAGTAATCAGATGGCATCAGTCAGGGTCACTGAAAAGAAAATATAGCACCACAAAGATATGGGAAGTGGGAGGGCAAGTGCGTGATCCTAGCGTAGTTTTAAACGGGAGAAAAATATTCATCCATATGGCAGAGCGATTCTTGTGGGCTGGAAGTCAATTTGTCTATTATTTAAAGGCCTTTTAAATGTAATATGTAGTTTGAATCTACTATCCTGATATGCTTTGAAGATGCTTGAACAAAAGCATGCATATGGCAGCCTCTGCTGGATCATATCTATGTGTATATGAAGGGGCATTTATCTGTCTGAAGCACTGAAAATCTCCCAGAACTTCAACAGGAAGGGTTGTCTGATTTGTTTTTCAAACTGCTTTGGTTTTGATGTGTAACTGGAAGACAGACTTTGAAATTCAGACTGACTTTGTGGGATTCAGCACCCCTAAATGTTAAGTTTATTACTGCTATTGCATTCACATAATAGCCTTCAGAATAGGACTTTAACATTGTTAATCAGATGAAGGTGAAGTTAAACTAAGATGCCATTCATTTTTGTAAAAGAAACAAAACAAGAAATCAAACACTATTTTGCAAATCTGGATCAAGTACTTTAAACTCCTGTGTGCGTTGTACTGTCGGTGTTCACTGCAGACACCGCATAGATGTATAGATATACACATGCCTTTGGTTTTCTTAGTCAGTAAACATTAACAGAACTGTTAGGAAAACCTACTTGTTATGAAAGTCATATATCTCCTGAATATTGCCAAAGATGATGTGCTCTTTGTTAAGGATCCCAGCAGGTATTTCTTCCACTCCACTTGTCATTTCCCAAAGGTAAGTCTGGAAGACACCAGCAATTCTTAGCTTTGTGAATAAATGCAGTGAAAAAGAGTAGATCTCCCTGTTTTATTGCCAAAGGCACAAGCTGACAAGGGAACTATGTACTTTAAGTTTAAATAAACAAGCTAAAAAAAAAAAGCTCCAGAGAAATTAGAAGTGCTGACACTTAGAAGTTGTCTAAGGAGAAAGCAGAAACATGCCAACACCACCTGTCTTTGCTGTCCAAGTGACGGTGTCCAAAAACTGCAGGCACAAACAGTTGAAATATAAGCTGGATTTGCCACTTCAGTAGCATTAGATACATAAAAATTTCTTTCAAATTGGAGGAATGTGAAAGCTGACAGATTTCACTGAAATATACTCTGCTTTTTGCCCTGAATATCACAGTCCCCTTCAGGAACACCCTGCTGTAGAGCTCGGCAAAGTATTTGACAGTGCAAATCCAGCTCTTTCTCTAGTAGGAGATGATCCAAAGGAATAGATTTGAATTCTTAAGAAAATGCTCCATGATTCAAAAAAAAAAAACCCTAGAAACCAACAAATTTCAGGTCAACATGCAAATATATTGCTTTTTACTGAGTCCCAGGACATTACTCTCACTCTGCAGGGGGGAGCGTAGCTTGGCAAATAAAGGCACACTCAGGTGCAGACATTTACAGCCATGGGTGGGGAGCACAGGGCATGGTTCTGCCAGTGGGAGAGAAGCTCTCTCTGCTGCCCACCCAGCTCCCACCACCAACAGGACATAGCTGTGCGACTAGCCGCCAATGGTGGTACCCTCAGACAGACTCTTGTCAAGGTCATCCTTTGCTGTAGAGCAAACATCACCACCACGAAGAATACCTTGCCCTTCCTGAAAATACCGGAGACTTCCCAGGCCCTAACTTACCTCTAAACATTCATGTAAGTCCCTGACATAAGCTTTTTCCGTCTGAAGCAGCTCAGCCATAATGAATCTGGAAAAAAGAATGTATTTCAGGTGTTTTGGACATTATAGGCATTTGTACAATGAACAGAAAACAAAACATACTTCTGTTGTCTTCATGAATCAGTGCACATCCACTGTGCAGCCTCCAGCTGCCTCACTTTGCACCTTTCAATCCCATGAATGAAATACCACTTCATACTCCAGTCCCTTGTATGTTTATTTTCTAAATATCTTTTTTTTGCATAAAATTCTATTAAGTTGTATTGCTGCAACCCTGAATTACGATTTACTATCTACCTGCCCATCCTTAACCACCAACAGATTCTCAGAAATCTTTTTTCCCCCAGGAGTAAGGTCTTGAGATTCACTGACAACACTTGCATCTTCACTAATAGTCAGTGGTAATTCACCCTGAAACTTGATGTTCAGTGGCTATACAGATGGATTTGGGAAACACCACTACTTTGAAGAGGCTTCAACAGCTTGGTATCTGACCGGAGAAAACCCAGACTGCTGGGAAGCCCAACAACCACATCTGTAGTGCCTGAGGCTGCACATCTCAAAGTTGAAATGCCCAATGATTTGAAAATGTGCCACAGGCAGATCATATGTAACCATTGTTCCCTAAAGTAGAAACCGTTTCTTATCAAGGTTATGCACCGTAGTGACAATTTCAAAAGGCTGAGAAGGATTGTACATACAAATGCTTTACACAATGTTGTCACACAAAAATTAAGACAAAATACTGTGATTTTTGTTTCTAGATTTAAGTGCAACAAGCACTCTTCAAATATTTACTCTAGTATGAAATATTTCCAGTTATCTCAGTTCTACACCCACTGAAATTTGAACCTAAACTTCAAGTGAACTTTTGTGTCACTGAAACCCTGTTAACTCCTCTGGATGTCACTGGAGTTTAGATAATACCCAGACACATAATGGTGTTTTTCATTTTTTCCTGTTCATTTTACTTTTCATATACAACCAGAAAGAAATGTCAAGATACTCATGACAATGAGTATCTCCATGACATCAGGGTCTAATCGAAGTGCTTGACTCACTCCTTTCTCTTTCCAAAAGTAACTTCTGATTAAAACCAAAAGAAATTAAACCTGTATATTCTGAAATTCTCTAGCCTCCAAGTCACAACTTCTGCCTACACTTACAGACTTATCTCAATAGCTTTACAGCCGGAAGGAGTTATAGGACTGTCAGTCAGTTCTGGTCATGCAAATATCACAGAATCACTCTGAGATAATGTGTCATGGCGGACCACGAGCATTTGGGGACATACTCTTTCTTTCTGGCTGACTTTCTTTTTTCTTCATTGACTTCATGATTTGCATCTCGCAGCTTTACCTCCCGGTCTGAAAGACTTGCTGGAATAATATCTAGTTCTAGGTCCTTGTTATCCTAGAAAAAGTGACAGTACAGATTTTAAATTCATTGTAAAACTACTGTTGTGCAAAATGCAGTATGTTCATGAGATCAAATGCATAAGAAGGGACAAAAGTAAGATAAAGATACCAATGTCAGAAAGAAGGAAATTCAAAGAGATTTAGAAGAACTACAGAGAGAAGGGAGGTGAGAAGGTGAGAGAGAAATCTTTACAAAATGCCAACTATGAAATTTATTATAGTCTTCACTGTTACTCCTTTCTAGGAATAGGTATTGATGACAAACATCTACATTTTACCTTACTCCTTCACATCTAAATTACTTGCCTAGTATGCGACTTCATAAATAGTCTGATAAAGTAGGGCACTATACAGAGACAATCCCAACTTCCAATGGCCTTCTGCCATGAAAATACCTTTCCAGACTGTGGTTAGTAACTTTGTGTAAACCAGAGACCTTACAAGGAACAGTACATTTAAAGTATCTTGAGCGTGTAAGTGAGGGAATTTATTCCTCTTTCTTTGATACTTAATTTCAAAGGATGGTTGATTGAAAGGTTTTTAAGTGTTTCTGTCTCTGGCGCTCCCCCTTAATACTGTCGCCAGGGAATAGCAGGATATTCTAATTTTTGTTTCTCTTGTGTTGCTCTATTTCACCTAAAAGAGCTCAAAGATGAGGTTGGGGATCAAGTTTTTGGTTAATTAAAAGATGAGACAATGGAAAATTACATTCAAAGCCTGAGTTTGATCCAAAGTAATGGTGTGGCAGCAGGATTTATGGCTTATGCTAAAATTAACACAGACTTTTATTCCAATAATGTGTTTCCCCTCCTTCCCAGTAGCTATCTGGTCTCCTGGAGAATGGTGCAAACATTTGCTTAGAAAGTCTTTGTGATCTTTATCTGTCTCCTCATCATATGAGTGATCTGCCACAAAAAAACTTTTTCTCTTCAGAAACAGTTCTGAGCTTGGCTAGGTAGGTTGGCTAGGTTTTAAGTGTTTCTAATGGACACACAATAACCTGCAGCATTCACACCATAGCCTTCACTTCCCTCTGTGACTTCCAGCTTTGTTATAAAACCCCAGCAGGACATGGACTTACAGTACCTCTGTATTGATTCCAAGGGCTTTTTCCAGGGAGTAGCGGTATTTCCCCATCCTGAGAGAGAAGTCACGGTAGCGTTTGTCAACGGTGGTGACCCACTTCCTAATTTCAGTGGCGTGTATGTGTCCTTTTTCTACAAAGCTGTCAGCCAGCTGGATGAGAAGCTTCACTTTCTCCTTTGTTTGCTGCCCAAAATATGGTCCTCGGTTATGTTGCATTATTATTATTTCCTTTGCTTTTTAATTTGCATAGCAGTTAGAAGTAGCTCACAATTTTTTATACATCATTAAAGAGTGCCTGTACGTCATTTTATACAGAATCAGATGCTTTAAACTTTGCCCAGTAAAACATGAAAGGAATGACACTTTTATAAGGACACTTATCAAGCTGCAGGAGATAGAAAAAGTCAAGTTTTTTAAACCATACAAACACATAAGGAAAACACGCTGGAAGTTAGACATGCCTCCCTCCCATAACCAAAAACTTATTTTTTTGTGAGCCTTGGAGTAGAAGACAGGATTTAAAAATCACACCTCATAAAATACACCATGTTACTCTGAATCTATACTGAGGTGGTTCTGCAGACCCGTGTAGGCAGATCATTAATAGACCACATATCAGTCCAGGAAGTGAGTTTGAGTTGCTACTACTCTGTTTCAGAAACAAACAGAATTTAAATCCAAATTCCTGGTCTAGTATAAAATCCCTCGTCAGTATTTTAGTTCCAGTTAGAGCATTACAAACTAAAAGATGACCGAACTCCAAAACATACAATGAGCCCGCCCAAACCTTCCAGAGGTCTTTTCTATTCTACCTGGGCTCTGACTGCCCCTTAGTCACTATGGTTTTCCATGTTGAGGAACTTTGTGAAAATCTGGCACAAAACAACTACTTACAAATTTTAGCTTAGATTCCAAATCTATCCCAGGAACTGATGGTGCCTGGACCCTATGTTTGAGCCAAGCCAAGTATAAAACGCTTATAAAAACTGAGCTATCAACTGTACAGGCTGCACTCCAGCTGTAACACACACATTAATCCTCAAAAGCAAAAGGAGAATCAGTCATATCCCCAGAGGTACTGCCAAGCTGCTTTTCAGAGATGGGGAGAACTTTCTGCTCTGCCTGAAGCGAGACATGCTCTCAGGTACTTGACATCATCAGCAGTCTGGCCACAAATGGACAAATGCATGTCAGGGCAAAAAACGTCTAGCAGGTTTCAAACACATAACTAAATTCAAGAAATTTCACCAGTAAAATAAATTAACAGCAGAATCAGAGGCCAGCTTAACAAATTAACTGAGTACTTAAGCAAAGCTAGATATGGAGGAGTAAAAATCTGACTTCCTGTCATATTTAAAGGGTGTTTCATTCCCAAAAGCTACTGGTGTTTTGCTTTTCAAAGAGTTTATTTGTCCAGAAAGTTATTTGGATCAGGAAGGTTTTCAGTTACAGCTTAATTGGAGAATAACATGTCTGGGAGTGACATGTATGTACCAGATTGCAGGTGGCAGTGAAAATATTCTAGGTCAGTGGTAGGAAGTGATTTACTAGAGCCCTAGGAAGCAAAACTAGCTGCATCACTGTAAGGAACAGCCAGTAACAGTCAATAAGGAACAAGGTATAAAACTCAATCCTAGGCTAAGTCAAGAGTAGAAATAGTTTAGAAACTTCAGGATGAATCAGGATTATTCTGATCACAATTAAATTATAAACTGGAACACAAATTTTGTTTAGGTAAATCATCATTTTAAATAATCAGGTGGACTGATTATGGGTAATTACAGGCCAGAAGTACTGTTAAAGGAATGTTGTATAGGTCCTGTCTGATTAAATTAACTTCTAGCCACTGCTAGTTACCTCCCATTTTCACAAACATGCAAGCTAAGGAAAAAGAAAGGGGACAAGAAGAACACAAAGCCCATGAATCAAAACCCATGCAAGCATGGACAGCCTAACGAGGAATTTAAGGATTACAGAAGATCAATTTCAGGATACAGGGAAATAGCTTTATCAAAGCCACGGCCTTGCTGCAGTCCGACTTTGCAATTCAGATCCTTATAAATGACTGTGAATTCACTGTCTGTGAATTACTTATGGTTTGAAATAATTTTTCTGAAGCAGATCCAATCACCATTCCCCGTAAACCCCACCAGGTTTCTCAGAATTGCTCCATATAAATTAATAGATTCTTGGTAATGCAACTTTGTATTAAAAAATGTTCACCCCAGAGTTTACAAATCCATTTATTTAAAGTATTTAGTTGGGATCAGCAGATTCTATCTAATGAGATAAATGATCATCTATGATCAACCCAGCTGGAATTAATGACTCAAGTCGTGGTTGTAATGACAGAAGAAACAGTCAGGGAATCCAAGATGACCCTGGATATGTTTAGACCAATTAGTTACTCTATACCATTCTTGTATAATTGTTTGAGGATAGAATTAGGGTACGTCTCATCAGATTCCTGTAAACGGACTTTCTCTTCCTTCTAATCAGAATAAAAATGCTCCATAACCAGTACAGACCAAGGGGGAGAAAACCTCCTTTTTGAGCCTGTGTCTTGTTAAAAATGAAAGATCACAGTTCTCAAAAGACATTTATCTTCCAGGCTAGGAATGTCAGGAGGAAAATACAAAATTATAAAAAAATTATTACAGAGATTTAAGGCATTGAAACAGGGTCATAAACATAGACTAAGGCAGATGTCATAATTAGATTAAAGTCACTGTTTACCTTGGCAGGTACTCTGAATTCCCCATATTCCTTCAGGAGTTCCTGAGTTTCTTCTGCTGATTCCCCAGTGGAGTTGTGAGTAGAGAGGTAATATTCGCCTGTTTCTTGGATCCAGTCTAAGGCCTGTGAATGTCAAAAACAACCAAAAGAAAAACAAAACAAACAGTCTTTGCTTTTCAAGAACTAATCCTCTGGCAAAAAATATGCCAAATCAAGGATATCAAATCCATTAGGACTTAATACTGCGTATAATAAAACACCTTCTAGGAACATAAAAAAAAATACAGTAATCAAAGCAGGTGGGAGAGGATACAAAAGGTGCTGTATGTTTGCTATGAGAAAAA